GGTGGAGAAGGTAGAGCTGATGGTGATGGTGGAGGTGATGGTGAAGAAGGTGGAGGTGAAGATGATGGTGGAGGAGGTGATGGTGGTGGGAGTGGAGGTGGTGTAGATGGAGGTGATGGTGGAGGTTATGGTGGTGGAGGTGATGGAGAAGGTGGAGATAATGGGGATGATGGTGGAGGTGATGGTGAAGAAGGTGGAGGTGAAGGTGATGGTGGAGGAGGTGGAGATTGTGGAGGTGAAGTTGCTGGAAAAATTAGCTCGCCCAGTGGCTGGTGAAGCCAGCCACCCCAGCTGAGGTGTTGACTGGCTGCATGGACGAGTCTGGCAAACCACGGGGAGCAGAAGACCACCCCCACTGAGCCCCGCCACCCTGCAGGTGGTGAGAAATTAAAATAGCTGTTTTCAGGCAGTAAGTTTTGGGGTGGTTTGTTTTGCAACAATGAATAATTGAGAGAACCCATGAATGTCATATAGTTAAAAGTCTCTACGTCTAAAGAACTCTTCAAAGCAATATGAAATAAACATTCCATGCTTCAATTATGTTTTAATTTTTAGTAAAAAAAACATTGTGTCATAGTTTGGCAATATGTTTTTTCTTGTTAGTGTTTTGTCTAACTATGGCACATCTTATAACCGTAGCAGACCTCTGTCTTGGATGTGTTCCCAGCTGCAGTGTATCCTGCCTTTGTGGGCAGCTACGTGTACTACCGCTCACGACGCCCATTTGATCAATGAGGAAGGTGAATGCTTGGGAAGCTTTGCATCGTGTCCAAGGCCACGGAGCCTAGAAAGGACCCTGCTGGGATTCGGGCAAGGACAGTGGGGTGGCAAAGCCGGGCTGCCTCACACAAGAGGGCACCTGGGAGTCCCTGAGGAGCTTTCTCAGACGTGTCCCAAATCAGCAGCAAGGCCCAAGGCCAGAGGTCTCCCCAGCTCCCGGGACGTAGGACCCCTTTCCAGAACTTTCTTTGTGGGCAGCTGGAGAGCCAGTGTGGGGTGCACTCACCGTACACCTTGAGCCGCAGGACCTGGGTCCGGGACCGACCGCCCGTGTCCACCAGCAGCAGGGAGAAGTTGCCGCTGTCTCCAGACTCCAGCGGCCGGAGCTCCAGGCTGAGGTTGCTGTGCAGCTGGGCTCGGCCCAGGAAGCGGGAGCGGTACAAAGTCTCTGGGGTGCCCCGAAAAAATGTGGCCAGGAGCTCCTCGGAAGGCCAGAGAGATCTCCAGATGGCCTCTCGGACTTGGAAGCCAGCAGGGCGCTCTGCCACCAGCAGCACGGAGCCCCCAACCTGGCCGTGCACTTGGGCGCTGGAGGCTGCGGTGGGAAGAAATGCTGGAAGAACGGAGCCCCGTCGCTGCCTGGCCAAGGCTCCTCACCCATCCCTGGCCACACTCAGGTACCCAGCTAAGCGGCTGCGAAGCACACTCCCTCCACCCGAGCAAGGTGCACTGTGCTGGGGGCTGGGAATAAAAGCACAAGGGACAGAAGCCTGCGTCTGTGCTCCGGGCGCTCACAGAGGAAGCCCGACTCTAAGCATATTAAGTTAGGTCCCACGATGGGGAAGAAGGGATGCCCTGGGAGAGCACAGGTGCGGCGACGGCCTTGGGGGCTCCAAGAAGTGGTTAAGCTGAGACCAGAAGGAGGAGAGGGGATCAGCCAGGTCGGGTGGAGGAGGGCTGTGTGGAGCAGGGATGGGGAAGTGTCGCGGACCAGGGAGGGAAGCCAGCGTGCAAGGGCCTGGAGGGCATCCGGAGCTCCTGGTTCTGGGAACTGAAAGCAGCTCTCTGCAGGGGAGGAAGCCGCCCGTGGAGTGGGTGGGAGTCAGCTCCTTCAGCTTCGCACTAGAGCCTTGGGGGGCCTCGCACAGAGTTTAAAGTGAGGGAGTAAGAGGGTGAGACGCCGGTAGAGAGCCGCACCAGCAGGGGTGTGGGGGCACTGGAGCAGGCCGGCCTTCTCCTGTTCCTCCGCCTGCGCCTGCGCAGTGATGGGGGATGCTGAGATGGGAAGGAGTGGGAGGATTTGTGTAGCCGGTGCGGTCTGGTCCTAGGTGTGGTCTGGGGAGTGACGGCGAAGGCCACGGAGGGCACCAGGGACCCACAGAGAGCTGTTCTCCGTGGTCCGGAGCAGGAGGAGAAGCAGGCTGGAAGCCGGGGAGATGCTGAGTTTGAGGGCTCTGGGCGGTGCCTTTGCAGTAGGGAGGCCTGACTCTTTCGCTGTCCAGTGATGCTCATCGTTGAACACCCCCCCCCCCACCTCCCTTGGCCTCCCCATCTCTCAGGGGCAGGGGGTCCGCACTGTTTCTCTGTGTGGCCCTGCAGCTGGGGGTGCTTCGTCCCTCTGCCGTGATTGCCTGTGGCTACGGCAGGGGCTGCCACGCGGGACCATGGGTTCCTCTTGTCTTCTTCCTACCCCCACGCCCACACCAGCAGGAGCATGGAGGAGACACTCAGCACATTGTACTGGGTGAAAGACAGGAGTCCCCGAGGAGTCCCCGGGAGTGGCACGGGGGACGCAGGGGCGGAAAGCAGCACACAGCTCGTGTGGAACGTGCCCAGGCACTGGGAGTGGGCTCGACGAGCTGTGTGCTGGGGGTCACTCGGCCAGCCCCCCACCCGTCTCACTGCCCTCCGGGTCCGGCTGCAGCGGTTACTGCCGGGGGAGACCTGGCCTACACAGAGGACAGAGCTGGATGCTGGTCAAGGCTCCTTGGTCTGTCTTGCCCGAAGTCTGCCGCAGACCTGCTTTGTGACATCAGCCCATGGCCCCGGTCCCTTCTGTGGTCTCAGCCCCGAAACAAGAGGGTACAGCCAAACGGGGATGCATCTGGTTTACCGTTAAGGGGCCTTCCACATCCCGGGATTTGAAAGATTTGTGCACCACACAGGTTCTTTCTCCTTTGTGAGGATTTCCCGCACATGCTTGGACAGGCCCAGGCGGGGGACACTGGCTGAAGTCATCTCCAAGTCCCTTGGAGTCCCTGGTGGGAATCTGGGCTCCTTTGATTCCTGCCCCCGGGCCGTGCAGCGCTGGTCCCTGTCACGTGTGCCTCTTGCTAACGGCGGGGGGGAGGTCAGGCAGCAGACAGGAAGGGGGTCGCGGGGGTAGCCCTTCCCACAGCACACCCTTCCCACCTGCCCAGTCCATGTGCTCTGTGTGGCTCGCTCGCCTTCTCGCCCTCCCCACCACCCCCTCCCTCACACATACCTGCGGGAGGCAGCCTTGGCTTCCCCCAGGCTGAGGGAAAGGCACCCATCCGTGTCTGAGCCTGCTCCGCCCTGCCCTCCTTCTTCCCAGACTGTAGTAGAATTCCTTCACCCTTCCCACAACTGAGCCTTTCCAAACCACTGGGACCACCAGCCTCAGTTTTGAACGGCCCAGGGCCGTGGAACAGCTCATGTCCCATGGACGTGGACGCTGCTACGGCCACCACCGCCTTCCACCCAAGGAGCTGCAGAGCTTGGCTGGGTCCAGCTTCCAAGGTCACCGAGAACATGCTTCAGTCTTCCCTGTCCCTCCCCAGCCCCTGGGCTCTCACTGGGGATGGGGTCCCTGCCCAGACGGCAGGCAAAGGGCCCTGGGGAGAAGCACTCAACTCTCTGAGGACAGGCCACACACCGGCCCCCCTTACCTTCCCAGAGAAGCAGGCTCCACAGAGACCACAGGGCCATCCTTCTCCCGAGAGGCCAGCAGACTCCTTCAACAACCCAAATCCAGAACATCTGGGGTCAAGTGGGTGTGCGGAAGGAGGCTGTGGTCTTTCTGGAAAGTCCCACGTTTCGAAGGAGGAATCTTTGACTCAGAACTGGATGCCCCGAAAATGAAAGTCTCCAGAGGAAAGTGGAAGTTGGCCCCAGCCTGGCTGGGCTCTTTCAGGAGTGGATTCTTGTAAGTCAGCCTCTTCCCTGTGCCCGTGGTTGGCCAAGGCCGTCGCTGGCAACAGGTGCCTCAACACAAGCCCACATCCTCCGTTTGGATCCGCCAGCCTTCTCTGCATCCCGCCGGCCCCACGGCCAGCTGCTTTCCTGCCGTAGCCACAGAGAACCCTCTAGATTGCAATTACCTGTGTTACTTCTCTAAAATTCTTCCGCACCTTCCACTGCCCTCAGGAAACAAAAGACAATACCCTCAGCTTGGTGTACAAGGCACTCCTCAGTTCAACTCCAGTCTGCTTGTCTGAGCTGGGCTCCCCGGCCCACTCTCTGGCCATGCGAAGGCAGGATGGCCCCTCCGGGGAGCCCCCATGACACCCCACGCTCTGTGCTCGCTCTTCCGGCAGGTGCGCTGCTCCATCTGGTCCTAAGGACCAGGGGCCGGGCACGCTGCGGCCGGCCAGCTCCCACTCAAGCCATCCCGAGCCCCATGCCAGCTGGCTCACCGCCCTCGGCACACTGTCTCGTGGTGGTTTTCAGGTCTCCACGGACTGCTTGCCGGCAAGGTCTTCACCTACTTGTGCCTGTGTTCCCCTTGGTGCTCGGCATACCGTGGGTATTTCCTAAACATTTGCAAATGAGAGTGTGAATTCTAGACTTCTTGAGGATCTTACTGATTTGAACCCAGAGCGAGGTTTTCACCTTGCAGAGGTCATGAGCGAGAGCTGGGGTGGGAGACTCGCCCCAGGGAGCCTGGGCCACTTTGCCGGCGCTACCCCTCCTCACCACGAGTCTCTTCTCACTTCCAGTTACAAGGGTTTGCTTGAGTCAGGGGAGACTCTGCAGGAAGACAAGGGGAACCCCCAAGAGACACGCCAGGCTCGTGGTGTCTCGTCCCGAGGAACTCCTGACCTCGGCTTGGGACCCGGCCAAGAGTGAGGCAGGCATGGTGGCAGGAGAGCCGGGGGACTCTGGGATAGGCTTCCTGCTCTCCAGGGCCTTACAGCCCAAGTGTAGAAACAGGATATGCCTGGAAGGAAGGTCCCCAGCAGACAAACACGGCTCTGGCAATGGGCAGCGGGGTCTTCTTGCTGCAGAGGGGGTGGGGGAGAGGTCCCTGTGGATGTGGGCTGGGGGCACATCCCCCAAAGTGGGCTTTGAGCTGCACCTTGATGGTAGGCATGAATTGGACAGGCAGAGAAAAGGGGAGAGCCAGAGGCTGGGGCAGGTTCTGAGCATGAAGTAGAACCGAGTGGGTACAGCCAGATGGGGGGAGTCCCAGGTGGGCTCCTGGGATGATGAAGGAGCGAGGGGAGGAGTCCCTTAGGGCTGCAGTGGGTAGGAATGGAAAGGGAGGTTGAGGGTCTGCTCGCAGAGGCCTGGAATACCGGCTTAGGGACTAGGCTTTTGTTTTGGGGGCAGCAGCTCTCTGCCTTGTGGGACTCAGCCTTGGAGACTCTGGTTCAATAGGGCTGGAACAGGACCTGGGAATCTAGTCTGGCCCGTGCGCCACTCCAGGTGACTCTGCAGCTGGTGGGCCGAGGGAAGGCTCTGAGAAGGTCTGCTCAAAGGGAGGGGTTGTGGCCCGCTGTGAGCTGAGCGTAGCTGGCTGGTGGAAGGACAGCGTGCAGGGCAGGTTGGCAGAGAGAGAAGAGGCAGGAAAGCCTGGGTAGCAGCTGTTGGGATGGTCTGACTGGAAGAGGAAGGAAATATTCAGAGTAGAGAGGAAGGGACAGAGCGGAGTCAGGGACAGAATTGGGAGCCATCTGGCTTCACAGTGAGAGGCCGGGGGGTGGGGGATCCCATCCATGACCCCGCTGTGAATTCTGTCCTTCTTGCATCAGGTGTTTATTGAGCATCTACTTCTGTGCCAGGGGCTGGGGACACAGAGATGAAAGGCATGGCCCTGCCCTCAGGGAGTCTGCAGTTTGGGTGAGGAGACGGGGAAGGTAACCTGCTAATTACAGTTCGTGGGGCAAGAGTGCGGGTAAGGGTATACTTAGGATGGGGTCTGGCGCATAGTCAGCTTTTAAAAAACCCTTAACCATTGTGACTAACTGGCCAGAGAGGGAAGAGAGGAGGACAGGTCCATGCAGAGCAAGGGGGCTCGGGTGTGAGCAGCCCCCTCCCAGACTGTCCCAGACCGGAAGCCAAGGACAGGCTTCCCAAGTGGGGGAGCCCTCAAAGCCCGTGGAGAGGCGGATGGTGTGATGCTGGGCTGTCAGGCCTGGGACCGGGAGGGTGTGGTGGCGGGAGCTGGGCCCTTGGGGGGGAATGTGGGGAATATAGACGCGGAATTCCCGCAGAGAAGACAGTGGGTGGCCACACTCCCTCATAGTGGACTGGACCTACATAGGGGTCCGTCCAAGCAGGGGCAGAGTTGCCATTGTCCCAGCCTCGTATCCCCACCTCAAGCCCTTCTCCTGGAGGGGAATTTCAGGGACGCTGAGGAAGGGCGAGGAGGAGGTTGGTGAAGGTCAGCAGATATCCTCCCTCTGCAAAGGGAAGAAGAACTCCACGCTGTGTGGCAACTGGAGAGAGACGAACAGGGGCAGCTCTGGATGGGCAAGTGTGCGGGGACAGGCTCCCCCCACTGCCGATCACTGGTTCGGAGCAGGATAATTACCCCGCCACCGGGACGGTGCGCTGGAGTCACTGGGCTGGGAGTTCAAAGGCACCACTCCCACATTCCTTAATTAAGAGAGCAGCTGGCAGCTGGGCCCTTCTGGAAGCCAGGGAGTCTCCGTGGTTCGGGGCTCTGGCTCCCTCGGCCCCTCTCCCCTAGCCCACCTCTGCTGTGGGCAGGGGCAGGAGCAGGTGTGCCCGGTGGTCACGTGTGCTGCCTGAGCTCCATCTGGGGCCAGTGGAATCGGGGTATCCTGCCCACTCACGCTTGTCCTTGATTCTTGGACTGGCTTGGGGACAGGCTAGGGCCTCAACAAAAGACAGGAGAGATGCAGGAGGGACAAAAAGTGAGACGGGAGAGAAGGGGGAGAGCGGGAAAGCAGGCAGAGCTTCAGACAGGAAGGGAGGGCACCCAGCAGGCTTTCTGGGAGGAAAGGGGGCACCTCTGAAGGGTGGTAAGGGATGGGGGCTGAGAGGCCAGGGGGAACCCCACCTAAGCCACATCTTTATGTCTACGTTTATCTTCTTGGTTCACGCAGAGAGGACCACCTGCCTTCAAGGTCTGTTGGCAGACACTGTGCCACCAGGCACCAGCTGGCCCCAAAGGCTGCCCTGGGTGCGGCAGCCCATGCACACCACTTCCCCATCGGCCAGCCCTGGCAGCAGAGGTAGCTCCTGCATGCGTGAAAGCAGGGAGCCCGACCTCCCCTGAGATGACATTCTCATGCCTGCTCTCATGGTCCTGAGACCCGGTGCCCACAGCACCTGCCGTGCCCGCCCTTGTCCTGGCCTTGCTGGGGATGCGGAGAGAGAGTGGAGTGCTTGATCTTTGATGCGTGAGACCAAGGTGCACCCAGCAGGAGAGGGGAAGCAGGAGACAAGAAACAGCCCTGTAGAAGCTGGGTGGGATGGTCCGAGGCTTCGTAGGGTCTGCATTTGAGGCAAAGACATCCTTCCCCAGGGAGCTGAATGCAGGCTGCATACAGGAGATAGACCACGACCACCGAGCCCCACAGAGGTAGGGAGGGAGGAGCTGGCTTTTCCCTCACTCGCTCAGCAAACCTCTGAGGAACCTGCCCCCTGGGCCCCTTCAGCTTCGAGCAGGTGTAGCATGGGAGGGGCCTGCTCAGCACCGGAAGCCCGGGAGCGCAGCGTCGCCGGTCTGTGCCAGCAATGCAGACGGCGATGGGAACCTGCGTTCAGGGTACAAGACATCCCGGTATTGGATGAGAAAGCCTGGGTCTTCCCTGTCCCGTGCATCTCGTCTGTGGTTCCTGTCCCCAAGGTCCGTACCAGTGGATGCCGGTTTAGGTAAAAATGTCAAAACACCTCATTTTCTAGCCAAATCTCAAATAAACCTGGAATGGAAAGAAATCCCAACCTCTGCAAACTGCCTGGTTCAGGGAAGGCGCATGCTCCATTTTTGTGGTGTCTCTCTGAGGTGTTGGGCCACACACAAAGCCAAGGACAGGTGTCCAAGGGCACCTCAGGATGCCGCTGTCCTATGGATGGTCAGACCCAGCAGAGGGCAGCCGTGAGCCCCCGATGTGCACCCCCCTTTCCCCACAAGGGCAGCAGCTCGGCTCTCAACCCCGCACAGAGCACTTTCTGTCCTGTTTACCCAGGAAGTGATGTGGACCCCCACAGCCCCGGTCCCTGCGTCCCTAGAGCAGGCAGACAACTGGGCGCTGCTGGAGGAGTGTCTACTTTTGCTCTGACTTGGAGAGGAACTAAGAGTGTGGAGCCTTTCTGGCGGGAGAGTCTGTTCTCCTCACCACCAGCGTCCTAGCGTCCTCCAGGACCAGCAGCGGGTTCCTGCTCTGAGCACCGGCAAGGGCCCTGGGACCCGCTGTGCCGCTGTCAGGCCGGCCGGGGAGAGTCTGGGGACTCCTCTGAAACCTCTGCTTTCTCTATGTGCTTTTTGCGGATTTTCTTTTTCTTCCATTTTCTTAGTTATTGTTCATTTTAAAAAATCATAGCCCATTCTTTTCTAAACTAAGGGGAAAGGGTACTTTCGCTGTACAAATAGAAGTGGAGGTGGGGGAGGGATTCTGGGGAAGACACAAAGAGCAGGAGAGGCCAGACACAGGTGTGCATGTGTGTGTGAGTGCACGTGTGTGCAAGAGCATGTGTGCAAGAGTGTGAGTCGGTGTGTGTAGAGGATAGGACTTATCACCTGTGTCAAAGGAACTGTTTTTCTTTATTTTGAATCCATTGTGGAACTATTCTTTTGTAGAATATGATAAAAGCAATTTACCAAAAGAAGAAATAAAAAGAGATATCCAAAGGATGAGCCCTATTTTTTACGATTGTATCAAACAAACAAAATCACTCTGTGAGATTGCTATAAAATCCACTTATCCTGCCCTGAGTTGGTAAAAGCCATCCACAGACAGGTCCCAGTGTCACTGGTGTGGGGCAGGGGGCAGGTGGTGCGAATGCTCAGGGAGGAGCCGGTCCGGGAGATGACCGGCAGGGCCAGCTCCTTCCCGCTCCCCATCAGCGCTGTCTCCTTCAGGAGCTGTCCTGCCTTTGACTTGACTCTTTACAAGGGACCAGCCTGTTTATAGAGGGCGTGGCCAGGCTTGGCTTCAGCGGTGCTTCCTGATGGACCAGTGAGGACCCTGGGCTTCTACATGACCTGGCCTGTGCTCCCCAGCCTGGCAGAGGAAGTGAAGGGGAGGGGCCCTGATGTTTTCTGGACCTGGACTGGACCGGTGATGAGAGAGATGGGGAGGAAACCGAAGAGGCTGGGGAGGAGGCAGGTCATGTGGGGGGTGGGAAGGAAGAGAAGGCCTGGGAAGCTGGAAAATGTCAGCGCGGGTGGTCTTAGCAAGTTCTCTGGGTCCTCTGTCCTATCCCGTGATGTTCCCAAAGGCGAGTGGATGAAGGTAATCCCATGAAGTGTCTTTTGGAGGCAGACCAGGCTTTCTAAACTTTAATGTGTTTATAGAGCAAACACAAACAGGGCGAGCTGCAGGCAGAGGGAGATGTAGGCTCCCCACTGAGCTGGGAGCCCAATGCGATGCGGGACTCCATCCCAAGACCCTGAGCTGAAGGCAGGTGGTTAATGCCTGAGCCACCCAGGTGTCCCTTAGAGATCTTCTTTAAATGTGGATCATGAACAGACACTTCTTCAAAGAAGACATGCAAATGGCTATCAGACACATGAAAAAGTGTTCATCATCACTAGCCATCGGGGAGATTCAAATCAAAACCACACTGAGATACCACCTCACACCAGTTAGAATGGCCACAATTAGCAAGACAGGAAACAACGTGCGTTGGAGGGGATGTGGAGAAAGGGGAACCCTCTTCCACTGTTGGTGGGAATGCAAGCTGGTGCAGCCACTTCGGAAAACAGTGTGGAGCTTCCTTAAGAAATTAGAAATAGAGCTACCCTATGACCCTGCAATTGCACTACTGGGTATTGACCCCAAAGATACAGATGTAGTGAAAAGAAGGGCCATCTGTACCCCAATGTTTATAGCAGCAATGGCCACAGCCGCCAAACTGTGGAAAGAACCAAGATGCCCTTCAACGGACGAATGGATAAGGAAGATGTGGTCCATATACACTATGGAGTATGATGCCTCCATCAGAAAGGATGAATACCCAACTTTTGTAGCAACACGGACGGGACTGGAGGAGATGATGCTGAGTGAAATAAGTCAAGCAGAGAGAGTCAAGTATCATATGGTTTCACTTATTTGTGGAGCATAAGGAATAACATGGAGGACAAGGGGAGATGGAGAGGAGAAGTGAGTTGAGGGAAATTGGAAGGGGAGGTGAACCACGAGAGACTGTGGACTCTGAAAAACAATCTGAGGGTTTTGGAGGAGGGAGTGGGAGGTTGGATGAGCCTGGTGGTAGGTATTAAGGAGGGCACGTATTGCATGGAGCACTGGGTGTGGTCATAAACAATGAATCTTGGAACACTGAAAAGAAGTTAAAAAAAAAATTAAAAAAAAAATGTGGATCAGGGCTCAGCAGGTCTGGGGCTGAGTCTGAGTGGCTGCAATTCTATTAAGCTCAAGGGTGAATGCTGGCTGTGGGCAGCTCGGGCGCCCAGGGGTGGGAGCTCTGGGGGTGGGGGATGTGGTCCTCTTCCCAGGACAAGTGGGTGGAGTCGGTGATCCAGCAGCATGACTGGGACCTCACTCTGTGATTCAGGAACACGGCCTGCAGGGAGCCAGGGCTGGGAGGAGGAGTCTGGAGAACTAATCCTGCTAGTTACTGGGACTAAACTGTCAGCATCAAGGAGTATGGACTCAACAAGGCAAGCCAAACCAGCCATCACACCCTGCAAGTGATTGGTGAATAAAATGAAACAAATTGATACACTTCTACAAGCGCATGTTTTGGTAAACACATGAGGGGTAACCAAGTCTTCTAAGGTACTCTACAAGTGGGGGTTTTGGGCAAACATCAATTCCAGCAACTTTGGTAATCTGGCGGCCTGGAAGGGGTATGAGCAGAAATGGGAGGCAGGGCTTTCAGTGCCAGTGGAGGTGGCGGGGGGACTCTGGGGTTAAGAATTCCGTGATATTATCTGGGCCAGGCCTTTCCCCCCAACTCTTCGTCTCCCCGAGCCTCTGAAAAGTCCTCAGCCCTGCGGTCACCCAGGGGCCTCAGTGGCAGCTCCGAACTGGAAATGCTCTACTGGACCGCCCAGGCCAGCTCTCTCCTTCAGGGCGAGGCCAAGGACACGCACGGGGACTGAGGGTCACCATAGAAAGCCCTCACAAATGTGTGGAGAGAAGGCATGCCAACCCTTCCACTCACGTGCAAGAGAACATCTGTGGCTTCCGTGTCAGGTCCACTGCTTGGAACTCATGTGTGAGCGGGGATGACCCTGCCCATGTGTTCCTGTCCTTCTGCTCATTTGGATTCAGATCACTTAGGGCTTCCTCAAGTCTCCTCGGGACCCTGGCCAGGACACCGGGCTCCCTTGGTGTTGGGCTCAGGGGTTGGGGACCTAGAGAAGGGGCTTGGGTTCCTATTGGCCTCCTGGGGAGCACTGGAGGCCTAGGGTGGGTAGAGTCGGGGGGCTGCCATCAGTAGTAGAGGACCTCCTGGAAGTTACCAAGGGGAACTTTGTGGGTCCTGCTTCTTGTATTTGGTCCTCTGGCTGGAACCTCACCAAGCCTCAAGTGTTTCACATCCGTGTAGATGACAGAATTGTCCTGTGGGAGAGTCAGGTCAGGCTGAGGAGGTAGGTGTAACACAGTGGGGGAGAGAAGAGCGGAGGTCCATCTCACCCAGGTTCCCGAGGCTAACTCAGCAGACCTGGCTGTGGGGGAAAGAGAAACACTTGGGTTAGGGTGTCTGGCTCACCCGTGCACCTGCTGTCCCCCCACCTCCACCCGAGGGAGCACTGTTCCCCCTTTGCTTCTCAGTACCCTCACCTGTCATCCAAACATAGGTGGGCCCAGGAACCAGGAGGCCTGCGTCTGTGCAACTCAACCACAGCCCAGTTGTGTGACAGCAGGCCAGCCTCTTGGCCCTGGGACCTCTGCTTCCCCAGCCAGGAGACGGGAGGCGGTGGTAACATGGCCGCCTCACAGGGGTGATCAGGAGACATCAGGCCATGACCACACACCAGGCAGTCCTTCAGGTGTGGGGATTGTATTTATTGTATTAATCTGACACCAGCCCTGCCAAGTAAGGATGACTAATTCCTTCTCAAATTGGAGTGAGAAAATGGAGGCTCAGAGCGGCTAATACTCCCAAGGGTCATATCCGTAAGAAGGGGAACTGGAGGCAATTACCAAATCTTTTTTCTTTTAAAGGTTTCTTCTATTTACTTGTCAAAGAGAGAGAGTGCACAAGCAGGGGGAGCAGCAGGCAGAGACAGAGGAGAAGCAGGCTCCCCACTGGGCAAGGAGCCCAATGTGAGACTCAGGATCATGACCTGAGCTGAAGGCAGATGCTTAACGGACGGAGCCAGCCAGGCTTCCCAGCAAATACCAAGTCTATGCAAATGTGAAACACTCTCCCAAGAGTAGCCCATCCAATGGCCCCTTCCCCTGTGTCTTGGAACACGATGGCCTCTCTTGCCTTTGGGTTTCAGAACCCCTCATCCTCCCCTCAGGGAGAGCCTGCCCATCTTGTAAGCAGGAGCCAGGAGCCGGCTGGCTGCCCCCCTTCCACCCCGCCCAATGAAGCCTTCCCCTTGTTGCCCTGCCAGGATTAAAACAGCCACATTTCCTTATTTTGTCCATGAAAACCACATATTCAGAGCTGGCTTCTTTCTCTCTTTCTGGTGTTTAAGTTCTCACTGGAACTCTCCTCTGGAAGGGACTGTGCCCACGTGTGCTTTCCTACCTGCCTGCCAATGCGTGGGTCCTGGGGAAAGTGCCCCCGAGTCCAGGAGACTCCGCGTTTGTCCACTTCCCCTGCTGCTCTTCATGGCAGGGAGCAGGAACCCTGGGCTGATTCAAACCCATTTTATAGACCAGGAATAGAAATCTCAGTAAAACAAACACAAAAACAAAAAGCTTCCTGCCTTCGAACACCTATTACACACCAGACAATCTTTAAGATGTCTAGAACCACCTCCTATTCCTAGGAATTTATAACAGTCTTGCAAAGTAGGCACTATCTGCACTTTATAGATTAGGCTCAGAGACCTTGAATAACCTCCCCAGTCACACAGAGAGTACGTAGTCGGGTTTTGAACTCATGTCCGACTGACTTAGCAACTCATACTCCTCCCACGACGCCACGTTGCCGCCTCTCTGTGGGAGCAAGGACTGGCCTTTCCCTGTCCCTGCCATCTGATTCTGGTTATCTGTGGCTGGAGCTCACGGTCTTCTTGGCTCCTCTCAGAGCTGGGACTGTCGTGCTGAGACTTACACTCTGGGGAAGGACAAACTGCATTGTTCCCTTCTCTTTTCTTTGTTTCCTCACGGAGCTCAGAAAAAGGCAAAAAACCCTCTCTGGTTAGGGTGGCAGCAGGGGTGGTGTGGGGGAGACGATGTTGAAGACCGTCATTATGGTGGTCACAGTGGTGTTTGTGGTGGGGACAGAGATGACAGGGATAATTGTGGTGGTGGTAGATCGGTAATGTCGACGGTACTCAGCTACCTCAACCCAGGCCCCGGACTTCCCTTTCACATTAGCAAACGTGTCAGGTTCGGACGAGCTCACTCACCTCCACGCTCCTTTGGGACTATACTCACTGAAGAGTAAATCCCGTCCTCCTCGTTCTCCCTCCAAGTGACTGAAAGAAGGTTGAGGCTTGAATAGGACCCACGTGCGCTCTCACCTCCGGACGTCAGTGTCCTGAGGACCTGTCTGGAGGGAAGCCAGTCAGGGGCTCCGTCAGGGCGGTGACAGGAGTGGAAGGCGCGTTAACGCGGGATGTCCGTGCTGGCGGGAGCTGCCTGCCCCGCCGCGGACTCTCCCAGCTTCACCAGCCCTGACGTTGTTTAAACTAGAGGCTGGCAAACTTCTTCTGTAAAAGAGTCAATATTTCAGGCTTTGCTGACCATACAGTCTCTGTTGCCATGGCTCTGCTCTGTTGATACATAATAATGTTCTCTACGAAAGTACTTGGAGGACTGGATTTGACCCATGGGCCAGAGTTTGCCAACCCCCGTCTAAACCCTCCCTGCCCTCCCTCTGGAGGCCGAGTCTCCCCTCCCACTTCCCTGTCGCTTCACCAGCTCCAGAGCACCAGCTCCTCACGCTCCCCCCGGAAGCCATCCGCTTCCTACCCCGATGACTGGTTCCCAAGGCTTGGGGCTCGCAGGGTTTCCGTCTCCTCGTTCCCGTTCAGACTCCTTCTCCATCTTCAGGAGGTGCAAGGTGCATCTTCAGCAAGGTCCAGCTGCAAGTCCTTACCATTTCCAGACAACGGGGGCTGCTCTCCACCTGGAGCTGGGGGCGGGCTCTGGGTAGGAAGGCTCCCTAGGAGATACAAAGGCACAATTCTGAGTTCCCTCCGAGAGCAGGCTGGACAGTGGGAGTAGAGAGTCTGAGAGAAAGAAAGTCAGTGGAGGCTGCCGGAGGTCTCAGGCTGGTGTTTTTAAGAGGCTAATTCACAGGTCTGGACACGGCTGATTGTTACAGGATGTTTCCTTTGAAAAATATCCCGGAGGGTAGAGTGGCCCCAGGGGAATCACAAACTGGGAGGAAGCAGGGTCAGAAAGGAGGGGTCACACCCCTGCATGGAGAGGGCCCAGACTCACCAGTCAGGCTGCTTTTCAGAAGAAGGAAAAGCTGGTCACTTTGGCCACACACTGTGCCAGACGCTGGGCCTGGGAATTCAAATACGACGTCGACCTGTGCCGAGCCCAGCGACCAGCACGTAGCTGGATGACAAAAAAGTCCTCTCTTCCTAACTCTTTGGTGTCTGACATTCTTTGCGACTGTCCTGCAAGGGCTGATACTATGATGTCATAGTATCATATGTAGATGAGATGACTGAGGCTGGAGAGGGGACTTCTCCAAGGTCACACAAGGTAAGGGGGAGGGACAGATTCTTAATCCAGGTTTACGTGCTTTTTCTCGAGCATACTGCCTCTTGGAAAGCAGGTGCTTCCAGGACTTTAAAAATTAGCTCCTGAGATAGGGATTGGGTCATGGGGTTGATGCCTGGTGCCTAAAAAATGTTCATTATCGGGGCGCCTGGGGGGCTCAGTGGGTTAAAGCCTCTGCCTTCGGCTCAGGTCATGATCCCAGGGTCTTGGGATCAAGACCCACATCGGGCTCTCTGCTCGGTGGGGAGCCTGCTTCCTCCTCTCTCTCTGCCTGCCTCTCTGCCTACTTGTGATCTCTATCTGTCAAATAAATAAATAAAATCTAAAAAAAAAAATGTTCATTATCTCTGACAGCAAGAAGGCACCAGGATTACTGGCAGGATTGGGGGAAGGGTGCTTCCTATAAAACCAGCAGGGCATTTATGGAAATTCCGAGAGGCTCCTGGTTGTTAAACATCCCCTCGAGCTCATTCGTCAGGGCGTGTTTCTGGGCCGCCATGTGCCGAAGAGCTCCGGGAATTCGACGGACCTCTGTTTCACGTGGGGTGTGACAATGGGTAGTAAAAAGGACGAACTGCCGTGGCACACCTAGGCGAGTGCTCCTTGGATGTGGGCCCCTTGAATAACTATACACGGTGCTAGTGACACCATTGTTGGCCCAGATGTTTTGAAAATTGCCTTTGGGGATACAGCCTGTACGTATCTTTGGTGGCAGCACGTGTTTTGTTTGTGGGGGGAGTGGACATGCTCTCCGGAGGTGGTTAAGTGTCTTCCAGACCTGGGTGTGAAGAACGGAGCGGTTGATCTCCTGTTATTCTTGTGAAGCTTTGGAAAGGGGCCTGAAGGTTGTTTTCTGTGTGACATTCTCAAGGTTCTGTGCCTTGGAGTTTCCGAGAGAAGCGGCCCAGGAATGCTCAGCAGGAGCCCAACTTCCCTGAGAGACAGGTTCCTTACTACAGGGGAGCCCCGCTGCTCCCAGGTTGGCAGTGGGGGTTGGGTCGGGGAGCGTGGGCCGGGCAGCGGCAGAGCCTCCCCACGAAGAGGATGTTCTCTCTTTCCCTGCGAGAGGCTTCTTCCTCTTGAGGATCTTTCCCCAGAGACTGCTCCCCACCATCTTGTCTGGGGCTGGGAGGGAGACAGCTCTGCTGTGCTGCTCTGTCTTGAACGCTCTGACCCGGAGGTGAGGGGCCGGGAACAGACACACCTGTGTTCCTGAGGCCAGGTGAACGGCTGGGCCAGTAGGAGGAGGCTTTACTGCAGATGCAGGGATGGTGGCAGTCACACACCTTCAGCTCCTGGTCTGCTACTCCAGCTGCCTCTCCGTCTAGCCCCAGATCTGCCTCCATCTTTCTCCTACCATACAGATGTGCCTTGAAGCAAGGTAGCTGGCAGGGACCCCCCCCCAAAACTAGAGGGAAGGTTTGTTGCCCAAAGATAGCTAGAAGGGGACAGGAAGTTGGAGGCTGGCCCGAGCCCTAAGTGGGGGCTGGTAAAGCAGGGCAGGGGTCCAGGGCTGGGAAGAGAGCCTTTCAGGTAGCCCAGCTAGGGAGGAGCACTTGGACAGCGTGGCGGGGTGGTCTTTCTCACAGAGTAGCCGGGCCCAGCTCCTGAAAAACTCATCACACAGTCCTTAACAGAAGGAGCTGTCGACTTGAATAAGTAAACGTAGCTTTGGCGTCTACGACAGCAGCCACTTTCTCCCCCGGCAGGTGGAAAATAAGAACGATACCCCAGGGTGGGGGGAGGGGAGAGGGTGGGGCTGACTCGCGTCTCTGTAGGTGGGTTTGGAGAATAAGCTGGCACCAGAAAGCTTTGGCATCGGTAGCCCTTCCCTGAAATGTGGCCTGAGGTGAAGAAAGGTTAGAATAGGAGCACGTGTAGAGCTACCCAAGGTGATTGCTGTGAGAGCCCCCCAATTCCTGCTTCATCGTCATGACCGGACGGGAGCCAGGGAGGGTCCGGAATCCGTGTAGACCAGAGGGAGAATGTACCGAGCCCCACGAGGTATCAGGCTCAACACGTTAGGTAGCACGTAGATGTCATTTCCTTAGCTGAAAGACAATGACCCCAAGAGGGAGACACTTGAGGACTCTTAGAGTGAACAGGCCCAAGGTCACAGAATTAGGAGACAGCAGTGTTGGGAGAAGGCCATCGCTCCATCCTCTCTGCCATGTTTCCTTTCTGATGAGTGAATGTCCACCGAGCCCTCCCTTGGTCCTAGGACCGGACAAGATGGGTGCGTGCTCATGAGCACAGAGATGGGCACTGGGGTTCTCATTCCTTCCTTTCCTCTGCTCAGCAGAGCTCTGGTCTGACTGTGAGCTGGTGGCCTGGGGTTTTCCTGGCATATTCAACAGCCAGAGTGTCTCTCAGACATGAAGGACTCCAATGTGCACTCCATTTGGCTGGTGAAAGTTCCTGTGTTTGATCCTCCTTTCAGGCCCAGGTGTGCGGTCGTGGCTTTGTGCATCTCTGTGTGACTGTGGGTGTGAGACAGTGTGTCTGTGTGTGTGTGTTTTGGAAGCTGTTAGAGTCCCTCCATGGGCTCCTTTGTGTGACACGCAAAGAGAAGTCCCTCCTCCCACCCAGCACCCGAAGAGGAAGCAGTTGGTCCCCTGAGATGCTGGCTCTTTAAAGGCTGGGGTGCCTGGCACAGGGACTCAGCCACTAAGAAAGTCACAGAGGTCACTGACCGGTTTTTCCCCAGGGTCTGAAGTAAGCCACAAGTGCAGTGGCAACGACCAGCACACCAGGCACGCTCGCAGATAGACAAGGAACCAGTCAGGGGCTGCTGGTGACGGCAGACAAGCCCCGAGGACCGAGGGGTGAGGTGGGGTGACCACGAGCACTGAGGATGGAATTCAGAAATGTATCCCAGACGGGCACGGAGGAGGCAGAATGGCTGGCATCGGGGGAAGTGTGTGGCCCAAAGGAGGCTTGTAGACAGAATGAGGGTGGTCCAGGGGACACCAGCTCGGCAGGCAACACCACTGAGGACCATGGACCCACCCCTGCCCCCCCCATGGAGCTCTCGCTTCCCCTCCAGGTTCAGTGCACAGATACCCAAGCAGGGTCCATACTCCCTCATGCAGTGCAGGGTGTGGGGGGTGGGGCACAGAATGGGAGACCTGACCCCTGCCTGCTTCCTGGGGCTCAGAGCCCGGGTGGAGGACAAGACATACCATCTAGGGAGAGCGTCCTGGGCTCACTTGTCTCATTGCAGACATCGTTCTTGGCCTGGCAAGAGTAGTTCCCAGCATCCTGCTCTGACGTCACAGTGAAGGGGAAGGGGGTGGCTCTTCCATGGGGAGCCCCCTGGTTCCCCAGGATCTTCCCGTTCAAGTGGAATGAGTACAGGATTAGAGGGGAGCCATTCTGGGTCTCACAGAGGAGCTCCACTGCGTCCCCTACAGCAAGGTCTGTGGACCTGGGTCTCAGGGTGAGCATAGGCTGGGACACAGGAGCTGGGCAGCACGCGGGGTGGGAGGCTCAGCTCTACTTCCCCAGGCTCCTGGCCTCTCCTCCCCTGGGGACCCCTTTCTACGGGCCTTGGGTTCCCATTACCTGAAGCTCAGATCCCTGGGGAGTGTCTCTCTTTCCTCCCCACTTACCTTGTACCCTCACCTCCAGCTGGGGGCTCTGTTTCTGGACCTGTTACCCTCCGTGGTGGCCTGATACCAGTAAAGCCCAGAGGCTCCCTCCCAGGTTTCTGGGAGGCAGAGCTCTGAGTGGGACCCTGGTTCTGTGAGGTGCAGCCATCTTTGTGGAAGGAGAAGAGGAGACTCGAGGCCAACCTCTGGGGTTGCAGCTCCGTTTGGCATCTCAGGGTCGGCAGGCTCCCCTCATGGAGCTTGGGACAAGGGACGGCGCGCAGCACTGGAGGTGGGAACAGCTCTGGGGAGAAGCAGGCCCAGGCTCAGTGGCGACTCCTGAATCCTGAGTCCCCAGGGGCGGGGGTGTAAGGTGGGACACATCCCAGGCCACAGCCCTGTGTCCCATGGGAGACACTGTCCTTGTCCCCCAGGACCCACCTCTCAGCTGTACCCCGCACCGCCTGAACCAGAGCCAGAAGGTCTTGTCAGTCATCTGGTCCCCAGAGGGCAGGTTCTGGCCCAGGGTCTCTGGGACTGAGTGGCTAGGCTGGTTCAGGGTGCTTCCATGGCCCAGGGCATCCCCCTCCTTCCCTGGGCTCCAGATGTGCACCATGGGGGTGGGCATTTGGACAGCATGGTGGACATCTCAGGTCTCTGTGATTGGCTCAGCATTCGGGGCAGGCAGAGGGAGAGCTGCTGGCCTCTAGCGACCAGATCCCTGAGCAGCACCCCAGCCCCCACTCCCCTGACCCCTGGAAGCTGGTGACTCACCTTGGACTTGAAACGTGGTCATATCTGACCTTTGTGTGCCTAGGTGCGGGGGGAAGGTTGCTTTCCCAGTGCAGCTGTACTGGCTGTTGCTTTCCAGTGTTGCTGTCCCCATGGGCAGAAACCGTTTGCCCTTTGGGTCATGGAGTGATTTCCCTTCTTTGTAGAACTTGGCCAGGGACAGAGCTACCTTCCGCCATCCTTGGCACTGCAGAGTCAGGATGTTGCCCTCAAACATGGGGTTTGGCGAGGTTCGGAGGTACAACCTCCTGTGTGAGACACAGGAATGGGATCCCATCAGCCCACTTTCTCCCTGCATCCCCTAGCCTCAGGCCTCCCCTGGGGATAGAGGTTCCTGGATAGCACCTACATGGCCACTCCGTCCCCTGGGCCTTCGTACCAGACTGAGGAAGGGTCTCCGCTTTCCTTTCCCCTCCTCCTCCTCCCTCCTTCCTCCTCCCTGCTCTTCTAGTCCCCTCCCCTCCCCTCCCCCACTCTTCCTGCACCTTCTTTCTGGTCTTCCCTTCTACCTCCTCCTCGGCTCCTTTCCAGCTGCTCTTCCAACATCGCCCAGCTTGGGTTCAGTTAAATTCTTTCCGTCCGTTGTTCTACCTCCTTCCTTCTGACCCAGTTCTCTGCCCCAGACGGGCTCCTCACCGTCTGGCTGCCCCAGGGCAACTCTGTGCAGCTTCTGCTTCCAAGCACAGCTGCACACAGCCCGCCAGCCAGAAGCCGGAGGGGGGACGTGGGGAGTGCCCCTGCCTGGGCTCGCTCCTGCTTCTCCTGTCCACGCCCCCAGGCCCAGCTCCCATCCCTGCAGAGAGTTTCACTTCCACCACCGTCCTGGGGAGAGACCTGTCCTGTCTGTCCTCATTCCTAAAATGCATTCTATGGTCTGATGTGGACAAGGGACAAGCTCCCAGGGGCCCAGCACCCTCTGCAGGGCAGTCCCAGGCTGGCCTGTCCCCCGGCCATACTTCTTTGACAAGCCAGACACCGCTGGTCCCAGACAGCCTCAGGAGCCAGGCCTGAGAGCTGAGAGCAATGGTGGGGAAAGGAGGGAGCCCCAGAATAGCTTTTGCCTGGGTCTCTCTGGGCCCTTAGGACCCCCTTCCACCCCCACTGGAGGCTCACGCAGAACTTAAGGTTGAGCCTTGCTTTTGCTGCTGCTCTTTCTAGCAGCGCGGACCATGGGTTTGCGTCCTGCCCAGCACCCCTCACCCCAGCCTGGCACCACAGAACGTGTCCCTGGCCGTCAAGATGTTCATAGGCCAGGGTTTTTCCTACTTGACAGGAAGCTCCGTGGAGGTCAGGAGGGACTGGAAGACAAAGGGAGCTGAGGGACAAAGCTGCCTTCTCTGAACACACAAGGGACAGAAGGGAGTCTGGGGCCTTGGTGAGTGGAGAACATAGATAGGACTTTAGAGCCACTCAGAGAGGAGGAGACAGAGGTCAGTTCCATTTACAAGGGAATAAGATGAGGCCCAGAGCCATTTGCTGGGAACCGAATCACCTAGAATTACTCTCAGCCTGAGACCAGTGGGGTCCCAGGTCCCATTTCTGCCTGGGCACCAGCCAGGACTCCTGAGCAATGGGCCTAGTCTGCTGCTCTGAAGATGTTTCCAGGGGACCCAAAGGCCCATCAATTAAGCTTTGGGCCAGAGTCATATTTGGAGTTGGAAAAGACATATATAAGACTCATCGGTTTGTCCAACACAGGGAACTGTAAGAGAACAGAGTGATAGAATTAGGGTAAGCAGCATGAAGAACTTTTTCACAAGGAGGCCTGTCACCTCGGGAATGGGTGCTCATACCCATTCAATAAACCAACCACCCAGTCCCCTGGGCCCCTACTCATCCAGACACCCAACAACTCAGCCACCTAACCACCCAGCTACCTAACCACCCAGCTACCCAGCCACTAGCTACTCAGCCACTCAACCATCCAGCCACCCAAACACCCAGCCGCCCAGCCACTCAGCCCTCAGCCCCCCAACCATGCAGCCCCCAAACCCCCCAGCCTGCCAGCTTCCCAGCTCCTCAGCCTCCCAGCCACCCAAACACCCAGCCCCACAGCTCCCCAGGCCCCTAGCCACTCAGCTCTCCAGCCACTCCATCCCCCAACCCCCCAGCCACCAGCTTTTATGTTGGACCCAGTGCCTAGAATCCTCTGCCCTATCTCAGTTCAAATGTCACAACCTTAGGTCTTTCTGGGACCCACAGTTGAAATAATCCTCCTCAGTCACTATTACAACCCCCCACTGTGTTATCATCAGAGCACTTGGCTTTGTTTGAAGTTATCTTATTCTTTAAATTGCCTACTTGTTACCCCCCTCCCTCTGTCTAGAATGTAAACTCCGTGAGAGCATGGACTCTGCCTGTCTTCTTCACAGTCATGTCACCTGCGTCTGGGATCTGTGCCAGGAATAGTCCGTGTTCCACAAGCCTCTGTTAACAAACACTCGCAGGCTTTCCTCTGTGCCCAGCCACGTGGGACGGGCATATGAAGTAGGAGACAGAAGAGTAGATCTTTGCAAGGGGCAGGGGGCGGTGTCTGAGCTCCTATCTGCACCTGCAGAACTCAGACAGCGAAGGCAGACCAGGCCGTCTGGCGGCCTGATCTGTCCACAGAGCTCTGGAGGGCCCAGCATGCAAGTGACAGGCAAAGGAGGTGAGAAATCATGAAAGGATGAGGGACCCGGCCTGGCGGCTCGATCCGTTGGGGGATGACAAACACTGAGCTTGCACTTCTTTATATGCGCCCCTAATGCTTCTAGCTGTCTGTCTGTCTATTTATCATTTTGTTATTATTTTTTAGGATCTTATTTTTAAGTAATCTCTATACCTAATGCGGGGCTTGAACTCACAACCCTGAGATCAAGAGTCACACGCTCTCCTGAGTGAGCTAGGCTGTTCAGAGCAGAATTTTTATTTTTATTTAATTAAAAATAAAATTTTTAAGTAGGGTCCATGCCCCAGTGTGGGACCTGAACTCATGCCTGTGAGATCAAGAGTCACATGCTCCCGCGACGAAGCCAGCCAGTGCCCCTAATGCTTTTAAATGAATGAGGAGCAAAAGTAGCCTGGGAAGACAGGCCAAGCCATGAAATGATGGCGGATGAGGTTAGATGGGCGTGAGTAGCCCAGGGGATGGGTGGCACAGCTGGACACGAAGTGGTGGAGAGTGTTCTAGACTTTGGGACAAGGCGTGAAGCAAGGAGTGGCACATGGCCAAGCACAGTCAGGCCAGCTGTCCTCAGGCCCTGCTGCATCCTTTGTGGGTGGAGACCCTCTCACTGGGGGCTTGAGATGTGGCTGCTTGGCATGTGACTCACACGATGTCACACGAGGTCTACATGGCCTGGGATCCAGACGGAGGCTTTCAGCTTCACTTCTCAGCTCATCTCGGGGCTAGCTCAGCCACAGGCTCTCGGTGTGTGCAGAAGGAGGAGTCTTTCTTGCCATCCCCTCCATCTCCCCCTGGCCCCATCTATACACATCTTTTCCTCTGAGCTTGGTGTAGTAGGAAGCATGCAGGATTTGGAATCCCAGGACCTGAACTTGACTCATGAACCCATCTCTTTCCGTGTGAACTTGGATGCACTGTTTGAATCCCAATAGCCTTCCATTCCTGATTCTTTCTATATGATAGGAACCACGACAGCCATTTCCTTTTTTTTTTTTTTTAAAGATTATTTATTTATCTGACAGAGATCACAAGTAGGCAGAGAGGCAGAGAGAGAGTGGGGGGGAAGCGGGCTCCCCGCTGAGCAGAGAGCCCGATGCAGGGATCGATCCCAGGACCTTGAGATCATGACCCGAGCCGAAGGCAGAGGCTTTAACCCACTGAGCCACCCAGGCGCCCCCCATTTCCTCCTTACAGAGCGGTCACTCAGAGTTTCACTCCCTGGAAATGTGGTTACTGTCTTCACTGAAAGCAGAAAGAAGGCCTGACCTCAAGAGTGACTAAAACCTTGCAATGTAGTAATGCCCCTCTTTCTTTCCCCTCTTTACCAGAAAAACACCTCTGCAGCTTCAAAGTGATGAGTAAACAGGGCTGAGGGCACGGAAGCCTACAAAGCAAAAGGGATCCAGAGAGCAGAGGGACACTTTAGATAAGCTCGTGTCCCTGGCTCTGATGACCTGCTGTCCATCACTGTGAGACCTGGGAGCTGTGCCTGCAGACCCAGTGTCTGTGATGAAGACAGCTGGCTGTGGGGTACGCCGAGGGGTGGTGGCTGCATTACAGTCCTCTTACAAAGGGGACCGTGGACCCCAGTTTGTTACAGGCTGAAGATGATGTGGTGACACAGCCATTGCATAAGCTACACAACAGAGTCCCAGACAATGGAGGCTGCAGCCCAGTAGACCTTAGTGCTACTCAGGCTGCGGTCAGGAGGAGGGGAAGGCCCAGCTCCTGGCCCACTGACCAGGTGCATCAAGACCCAGCAGACCAGGTTGATGAGCAGGGCTGAGAAACCATTCCCCACTCGAGGGATCAGGAGACACTTACTGAGAAAGGCACAACAGAGTAGGGACACAGTAGTCTTCAAAGAGTCGATGAGTGACGCTTAAAAGAGGGGGAGAGACTTCAGGCCGAAGTGGGACTGATTCCAGGGAATGAGAGAGACCAGGGAAGCAGGTTTCAGCAAAGCACGAAGGACCAGCTCACAAGAGCTTGAGAACATCGGAACAGGCTGCTTTACCAAGCTGTGGCTTCCATGGAGCTAGAGCGGTGGTGTTGTGGGAGCTCTGAGACACCTCGCACGGGTGGTGTGGGTCTACAGAGGGTGGGTTCCAGTCCCGGCACTGCACTTAGCTAATGCTCAGCTCAGCAGAAAGTCAAGGTTCATCCCCTAAACTTCAAATATGCCTTTAGTGTACAGCCGTGGACCAGCACGTTCAGTGTCGGGGACCCTGGCCTCACGAATCTGTGATTGTCAGTAATAGCATTAGGCACCATTTGTTGTGTGAACATACCCCACCTGGCACTTGAAATGAATTTTATTTTCCTGTCTACTTGATTAGAACCCGACCACAGCCCTGCTGGTGATATTACAGTGGGACGGAGAAAGGAGCTCCAAGTGGACGTGGGTTTGCACGTCTCTGTTTTGCTCTTGCTAGCAGGGTGATTCTACGCAAGCTTCGTAACCTTTCTGAACCTCAATATCCTCAATTGTTTAATAGGGATAAAAAAACCTGTCCTATGATTCTAAAGGTTAGATGTGATACATTACACACTATAAAACAGGCCTTCAGTGCTTTCTTCTTGGTCTCTGCCTACATCTAAGAGGAAAT